CGTTTATTTATTTTTTTTTTGGGACAGAGAGAGACAGAGCATGAACGGGGGAGGGTCAGAGAGAGAGGGAGACACAGAATCAGAAACAGGCTCCAGGCTCTGAGCCATCAGCCCAGAGCCCGACGCGGGGCTCAAACTCACGGACCGCGAGATCGTGACCTGGCTGAAGTCGGCCGCTTAACCGACTGCGCCACCCAGGCGCCCCAAGAATATCATTTTTTAACTAAAAGAATTTGGAATGCTTTGGGTGCCTGGGTTGCTCAGTCAATTGAACATCTGACTTCAGCTCAGGTCATGATCTCATGGTTGGTGAGTTCAAATCCCACTTGGGTGAGCACGAGCCCTGCTTCAGGTGAGCCCCGCTTCTCTCTCTTTCACCCTCTCCCTCGCTGTCTCTCTCTGCCACCCCTGGGATTTTCTCTTTGTCTCTCTCTCTCTCTCTCTTTCTGTCTCTCTCTGCCCCTCGCTCACTTGTGCCCTCTCTCTCAAAAAAATTTTTTGGAATGTTTTTCACAAGATAACTCTTATACCTAGCTCTTTGGAGCTGTTTTAGAGTTTGTGGCTATTACATAAAGACCCTCAGCAATCGTACTGAATGCTTATCTTAACTTTACACTGCTGGTTACTTAGAGCTCATTAAAGTATAACTTGTCTTAAAAGTAAAGGGAAGGCTGTTTCTCCCTCTGCTCATGATTATCTCTATCATCTTCCCTACTGTTATTACCTTCCCTTTTTACTGTTTTTATGCTTTATTGCTTTTGAGACTTTCTGCTTCTCTTCCCTTCTTCACATTTGTTATTACAGAAGTTAGCTAATTTTTACTTTACTCCATTCTTTTGGTTTCTCTTTTCTGTTCTCTCATATCCTCTTTTTCCTTTTCTCTTCTGTCCTTCCCACATTGGATGGCACTACCCCTTTTTCTCCACTCCCCATTTTCCCCTCCCCACACTAAGCCAGTCGTTTTGTTTTCTTATTTGTCCTAACTGGACATGATATGGAAGTTAAGTATTCTCAACATTAATTGTATTTATTGACTATATTAATCAATTGTTTCGTTTTTTCTATGGAAAAAGAAACTAAGCTATACGTGGTTCTTTTTTTTCTTAAGTTTATTTATTTATTTGGAGAGGGGGATGGAGGGAGGGGCAGAGAGAGGAGAGAGAATCCCAAGCAGGCTCCTCGCTTGCAGTCCAGGGAGTAGGGGGACTCGACATAGGGCTCCACCTCAGGAACTGTGAGGTCAACACCTGAGCTGAAATCAAAAGTTGGATGCTTAACCGACTGAGCCACCCACGCGCCCCTATTTATGGTTCTTAATTGAATTTTTTAATAGTTCACTAGTACCCAATAGAAGAAAGATTATATACCCAACTTTGTGTGCATATAATAAACTGCACAGTTGAGGCAAATGACTTGGAATTGTTTTGAGTGGCAGAATTGGCTGGTCTGGTATTAAAGTCTCCTCTCAGGAAACATATGTGAAAAAATTCATTTTCCATACAATTTAAATGGTTTTATTCAGAAAATTAGTGAGCTTGACATAATGTGTAATTTTTATTCTGTCATCACTACCTACCTGCTACTAGTAGTTCTGCTAAATTTGCATTTGGGGTGATATCCTTTTGACTTTCAGTGATACTGAGTATATCCCTAAAGCTTATTTAGGAAATGTAATGAAAGTTTGAATAAAGGTAAAGAAACTTCGATACCTGTCTTCCAGAATTATCAGAAATTAATCCATATAGTCTGATTTTATTACTTAAAACCCAGTTAAATGGACTCATGGGTTTTTTTTTTTTTTTAGCTGATATAAGAAGCTAGGGAATTTAGTTGAGGATACAAGACTTGAATAGGGTTTTTTTTCCCCCCAGTAATTTACTATTATGCTGTGCTCTGTTTTCTGCCGAAATCTTGTTTAAATTCAACTACTTCCATTCCGCTGCATAGCAAAAACTCAGAATTAATGTTATTTTTCAGTAATGACTTTTCTTAAGGTGATGTGATTATTCAGTGTTTATAGCATAGTCTCCTTTGTGTTCATCACAGTACAAGTCTTCAAAGCAATACAATAAAATAACCTTTCTGAATAGAAGGAGTTACTATGCTGAACATCTTACTTACCCAAGATCCCAAAGAATTAGAGATGACCTATTGAAAGTTAGACACTAGTAGTAGTTTTTAAAATTTAATATACTTTCACTCATGTTTCTGTTCTCACTGCCTTATATCTCATTTGAGAGAAAGATATTAAAATTTGTGTTTTTTTTTCTTTTTTCAGGCAAAAGGCAGGATTGTGGTAATGCCAGGTATTTAATTATCTATCCATTTGTTAGTATAACACTGAAGTGCAGTGAAGAAAGAACAAAGGAGGCAGGATGATATGAGAGAAAGTATTAATACATGGTATTCAGAGAGAATAAGTAATTTGATTAAAAATTTAAGATTGAGAGATGTGTGCTGGAATTTAAAACTTCAGATAAGGAGAACATTCTAGCAGGGATTAGCTCAGAGAGTAGCAAATAAGGAAGTAGATTGGGATTGGGGTTTCTCCATCTTCCGTAGTATAGAATTTTGTGAATGTGGATGGATGTTCATCTCTGGTGAGGCACACCAAGTTCAATGCTGCTATGTTGAGTTAGGGCCAAACGTCCTAGTTGTTAACAAGGTGTAAGCAAACATTTAGGCGGTATCTCTGGACAAATATAATACTCTCTTGGTTCTTGAAAATCTCTGATCACCGAATTCTTCCTTTTACTAGAACAGTTGGGACATATGTTCCTGATGATAACCATGAAATCAGCTAGGTCCATTCTGGCTCATTAGAGGTGAACAATTTTTAAAGAATTAATAAGGGGATCTAGAATCAGAGTGAGAGATATAAAGATAATCTTAATTTCTTCATATTAATTATAAAAAAGTAGAAAATTGCATAAAGAATACTCATTTACTCATTTCCTACATTTAACATTTTGCCACATTTGTTATCTTTTTTTATCCTTAGGTATTTTAAAGTTAAAAGCATCATGGCATTTTATCTTTACATGTGTCTCAAATAAGCCTATGTTCTTTCAACTTCTTAGGGCTCAGTGATATTACTGTACCACTAAGAAAAAACAAGTTGATGAGTCCAAAAGAGTGTGTAAAGTCAAGTTACTTCAACAACTTGAATAGCTTGAGTTACCAAGTACATAATTTATCAGTCATTAAAAAATCTTTATTAAATACATACTATATACTAGGAAAGAAGAATAAAAAGATCAGTAATTTTATATTTTTAATCTGGTATTAGTTCAGAATATGATTATCTGTATACAAATATTTAAGAGATTGTTCAACAAAACAAATGAGTCATTACAAAATTCTTAATTGTACAGTTTTAATAAAGTAGAATCAGATGCTTCTGTGAAAAACCAAGTTGATATTATATTGAATAAACTGCAACACCTTGCATTTTTCCCCATTTCCAAGTCATGTGCTCTTTGAATACTGGTTAGAGAATTTGTGTCTTTCAGATACATCTCTGAGGCTGTGCTTTTGTAGCTTCTTCCTCAAACCTATCCTTACTTTTTGTTTTAATTTGATTTTGCTTTAATTGAGAGGGAGTGGGGATAGAGATTTTTCCTTGCCCTAGAACAATCTTTTTAAAGTCAGTAATATATAGCATCATTATATGAACCAATAGATGTATAAGATTCCACCATACAGGTTCTGTGACCTTATTAGTTAACTGTTCTCCAGAGTCTATAGTCTGTCTTTTATCATTCCTTTCTTATCTCATTCTAGCATAGTAGGGAGAGAGTAACTCTTAAGTCAATGAGAAATTTTGGCATGGGAATTTCAGGTAGAGTAAGCAGTCATTGCTAGTCATTAAGTTTTATACAAAATTTTATTCTTCTTAATGTATTACTTATTTTTCCAACAGGGGGTGGCATAACAGACAGAAATCTACAAAGGATCCTTGAGGGTTCGGGTGCTACAGAATTTCACTGTTCTGCTCGGTCTGCTAGAGATTCAGGAATGAAGTTTCGGTAAGAATATATTCTTTGATTCGTGTAAGAAGGGATGGATTAATCTTGAATTTCCTGATTTCCTTCCAGTAAGGAAGACCTTATCGATGGTATGATTAATGAATGGAATGTTGTGATTAATACATATGTATTACCTCGTTCTTGCAGTTTTTCAACTGCAAATGGTTTTATCCTGCCTCATATAAGCAGGCTTTTCTGAACTTAGGTGAATCTTTATATATTTAAGTCATTGCTAAACTTAGACCACTTAATAATAAACTCTAATTCAGCAGCTAAGCTTCAAATGAGTCAGATATGTATGTGTGTGCATTCAACTGTGATTTCCTTTAGTGAAGTTAATAACTATGGTATAAGGATGGAGGAGTCATAGTCACTTTTATCCCTCCTACCTTTAATTCTTAGTCAATCATCCCTCACCTTTGTTCCCTATTTTTAGTTATTTTGAAACTATGCCACTATTAAGAAATTGAAACTATTGCGAGTTTTTTATTACACTTTGGAAGATTCACATAACTGAATAGTTAAGTAGTTGATTATTTCTGTTTAGAATTGGGAAAAATGAGATATAAAAGAAGCAAGAGCCTTAGAACTACATTTCTAGAGGGGTGCCTAGGTGACTCAGTTGGTTAAGCATCCAACTCTTGATTTCAGCTCAGGTCATGATCTCATGATTCATGAGCTTGGACTCTGCACTAACAGCACAGGTCCTGCTTGGGACCTCTCTCTCTGCCCCTCCCCTGCTCGTGCTTTCTCTCTCAAAAATCAAAACAAAACAAAACTACATTACTAGATATAAAATCAAGTATACTGTCAGGTAGATTTGGCTACTAGATGTTTTAAGTAAGTAATTTGTTTTTTTTTTTTAATTTTCTTTTTTTTCAACGTTTATTTATTTTTGGGACAGAGAGAGACAGAGCATGAACGGGGGAGGGTCAGAGAGAGAGGGAGACACAGAATCGGAAACAGCCTCCAGGCTCTGAGCCATCAGCCCAGAGCCTGATGCGGGGCTCGAACCCACGGGCCGCGAGATCGTGACCTGGCTGAAGTCGGACGCTTAACCGACTGCACCACCCAGGCGCCCCTTAAGTAAGTAATTTGTAAAAATTATGAAATATGAGAATCCAAGCCCTTGACCTCCTGTCTTCTTGAACCATTAAGTAGCCTATAAAATGAAATGCCAGTAGGAGGGCTCATTTAACAAGTTATATAATTATCTGTCCTTTTATTATTTCTGTTGCAGAAATTCCTCTGTTGCCATGGGAGCCTCTCTTTCTAGCTCAGAATATTCTCTAAAGGTAACAGATGTGGCACAAGTAAGGACTTTGAATGCTATTGCAAAGAATATTCTGGTTTAGCCAGACCTCTCTGAGAGACATGGATATCACAAGATGAAGGTAGAAGAGTAGTTTTTAATTCTCTGACACAGCTTTGACCTTCTTCTCTGGCCAGGACAGTCACAGTCTTTAAATCTCACATGGCTATAGAGACTGTTTCCAAGAAGACAAAGAATTCAAACAGAGCTACAATCAATTCCTTTGCTTAATCTTGCCAGCCATCTCCATTATCATGGTTAAATGTGGTCTATGCTTCTTCCACAGACAAAGGTTTAATTAGTCTATTTTGTGGAATTAATTGATGAACTGGGAAAATTGAACTGTAAGATAGGAATTCAGAGTGTGACTTCAGGGTCAATTTAATAGCAGTATTTTGCTTTTTCATTTGTAAAATAAAAATTTACATTCTGTAATGGTAGAGTCTTTTATTCTTTTTTTTTTTAAATTTTTTTTTCAACGTTTTTTATTTATTTTTGGGACAGAGAGAAACAGAGCATGAACGGGGGAGGGGCAGAGAGAGAGGGAGACACAGCATCGGAAACAGGCTCCAGGCTCCGAGCCATCAGCCCAGAGCCTGACGCGGGGCTCGAACTCACGGACCGTGAGATCATGACCTGGCTGAAGTCGGACGCTTAACCGACTGCGCCACCCAGGCGCCCCTAGAGTCTTTTATTCTTATCCTAAATACAGTCTGTAGCCAAATATAAAAGGGAATATTTTTTCTTTCATTTTTTTTTTCCTTATTATGTACTCATTAGATGGGCAAGACACTAAAGACACAGGATAAAATGGTACAGCATGAAATCTCCAGACATGGGAAGTAGGATACGAAAGTTTCCAGACTTATAAAGGCAGAAGTGATCTCTAATGTTTACTGGGTGCCTCTGCTCCCAGATAGAGAAAGGACTTAACCGTAAGGTTCATCTAACAATTTACAAAGACCTATAGTAAAAATTGGGAGGTTACAGAAGTTAGCAAAATAGCTATTTCTTTCAACTGAGGCCACAGATAGGGAGAATGGATTCTAGTGATGAAAGATGCTTCTCCTGTAAGCAGGCCCCAAATGGTGAAGTTCATCACTAGCTTTATCTGTCACTTTCATAAATAATCTCATTTTAGGGGCGCCTGTGTGGCTCAGCTGGTTGAGCATCTGACTTCGGCTCAGGTCATGATCTCACAGTTCGTGAGTTCAAGTCCCATGTCGGGCTCTGTGCTGACAGCTCAGAGCCTGGAGCCTTGCTTCGGATTGTGTGTCTCCCTCTCTCTCTGCTCCTCCCCCACTCTGCCTCTCTCAAAACTAAATAAACATTAAAAAAAATAACCTCATTTTATATCAATAACAAACTAGTAATAGAGCTGTTATTTCTACTTTAGGAGAGTAACTGAAGCATAATATAAAGAGCTTGCTCTTTGTCAGAAAGCTAGTTAGCATAACCTCTATGAAAAGTGTGCATAGATTTGGGTACTGGTGAATGTGTGTAGCAAGAGCTTTGCCTTTATTTAAAGGCACTTCTTCAGGTATAATTTCAGTGTAGAATATTTGCTGAATAATTTATGAAAAATGAGAGGCACACTATTTAAAAATCAACAATAACCTGTTTTTCTTTTCTTGCTTGTTCATAATTATTTCAAAAAATAGTTTTCATTCTTGGCTTTGAATATAGATACAGATATGTAAGTATCACATATGCATGTACATATAATCATATTTAGTGTTTTGGGCCAACCCTCCCCCATGCGTGGACTTCTCTGTATGATCTTCCAGAGACAATAGTAGGCCATGTTATCACCTCTATTTTCTTTTTAATGCAGATTAACTAGGGATGTGAGAGATATTGTGAGTTGCTCAAACTTTAATAACAAATTAATGTTTATGAGACTTGAATGCTAGCCTACTAACTGTCAGGTCTTCTACTTTAAGATGCTTCTGGTATATGGTTGTAGTACGGAGAGCAATACTTCTAGGCAAACCAGACATACCTGGGATATCCTGGTTCCCAGTTTAAGCATGAGAAAGTTAATTTCTTGAACTTTAATTACCTCGTTTGTAAGTCAAGAATAATGACCATGGATCCTGGTTAAGTAATATATTAAAGCACCAAATACGTAGTGAGTACCTGTTAAGTGTTCATTCTTTTCTTATAGCCCAGCTTTCTAGTGTCAGTCTTTGATAGTTTAAAAGCCCTCCCAGGAAGCCAGGCATTGAGTTTTAAAGCTAATACTTTAGCCTTCCACTATGTGAATATAAAAGAAGCATAAGGTAATTCCTACCTTGATTTTATTTTTCACCACTTTAGTCCTGTTTTTAAATATTTACTGATTATTCCTGTAGGTATAAGTTTCTTCTGAACAATTCTATAAGTATTTTGAGGCTAAGAGACCACATCTTTATATTTTATATATTTCTCACTGTACTCATCAAATTATATGCTCATGGATTAGTTTGCTAGTGGAAAAAGAGCACTGGATTGGTGGTCCTGACTATATTACTGTCTTTGGTAACTGTGTTGGATATCTTTTGTTTGCCCCTGCAGATCCACTCTTCACTTTGTCCTGTAAACTGAATCTAGCAACATAAAAGCAGTTACACACTATGACCAAGTAGGATTTATACCAGGAATGCAATGCTGGTTTAACATCCAGAAGTCAAACACCATATTAATAGAATAAACTACAAAAATCACACAATCTTTTCAACACAGAAAAAATATTTGACAAAATCCCATATCCTCTCATAATAAAAACACTCAACAAACTTGGGATAGAGGGAACTTCCTTAATCTGATAGAGTATCTACACACAAAATAAACACACAGCTAACATCATACTTAATACTTAAAATCAGAAATAAGACAAGATGTCCACTTTCACCATTCCTACTCAACACTATACTAAAGGTTCTAGTGAGGGCTTTAGGCAAGAAAAAGAAATAAAAAGCATCCAGATTGGACAAGAAGAGGTAAAACACTTTCTATTTTTAGGCAACATGATCTTGTATGTAGAAAATTCTAAGGAATACAAACACAAAAAGTTAAATGAGTTTAGCAAGGTCACAGGGTACAATATCAATATACAAAATCAATTGTATTGCTATACACTACCATAGCAATACTACAGTATACATTGTTAATTAACAGTCTTAAAATGCAGTTAAGAAAACAATTTCAGAGTGCCTGGGTGGCTCAGTTGGTTAAGTGTCTGACTCTTGGTTTCAGTTCAGGTCATGATCTCCTGGTTTGTCAGTTCGAACCCCGCACCGGGCTCCATGCTAACAGTGTGGAGCCTGCTTGGGATTCTCTCTCTCCCTCTTTCTCTGCCCCTCCCCCACTTGTGCT